AGTTGTTTGCCACTTATTCGTCACATGTATAGCACTTTGATTCTTTGCGTGATTGAATATGACATTCACGTCATTAGCATTTGTTTAGATACAAACATATTAGATAGTTGGATTAAGTTTGGCCTCCAACTTTTGGAGTTTTTCTTTTTCAATTTCATGATACAGTATACTGCAAAGACTGGTGGGTGAAATGAAATACGTAGACAGTCAATTTAGATTCAAACAAATTTGTTCGTTTCATTTAAAATTCATTTAAAGAATCTCACCCTGTTTTTAAAAGAGTGCAAATATGCGTATATCATGTGTACTTCAATGGATACAAAACCTTTTCACCACGACACACTGTGAATAGGACACCATATCTGTATTTACGAGTACATTTTTTGCTAATAAACCGCGACTTATTACTAATCGTATTTTCTAATCCGAGATAAAATTATTACCATTTTATAGTATGGAACATCGATATTTGTTAACCATTATATTTTACTCTGTTTGTGCCACTGTGACGTCAGAGTAACCTCACAGGAGTTAGATACTCCATGTCCCATTGTTAAGCCATAACTCGTACATACAATATGTTTGTCGACTAATACGAAATGAAAGCCACTGTTTTGGCCGCCACAGGTGTAGATTCCATCGGATTTGTAACTAATTCCACCCTAAGCGTGGATTTTAGTCATTTGGTAAAAATAGAAAGTCGTGCTTGAGCATAGAATAGTTTGGTTCAAAACAACTCGGCATAATGGATATCTTTTGTACCAAGGTAGCAAATATGAACTATTATTGCCGAGTTTTTCAATAAAGTTGCCCAGGTATTAGAAACGAATGACATTCAATCACAGACAAAGTCAATGTCCCACACGCAGACTACATGTTTGTAATTTCGACCTTTTAATAACAGATCAAATGATTGGTGAAAACACAGAAAACAAAGACAACGATATTATGTTCAAAATAGTCATGGCCATTCAACACCGGTGAAATGTTGAAACATTTGTCTATTCACATGATCTGGAATCCACAGTGAATCCATGGTGAGGTTCGTATGTGAGATTATAGCTTATACTAAAGGATGTTATAACCGCTATTGTTTAGTTTGCGTATCGTGTAAAATGTTCGAAATAGTCACATCCCCTTTGGGGGCTCAGTGCATGCACATTGGTGTAACTGTATAGCATCAATCTGAAATATTTATTTATCCACGATAGTACATGGAAGTTAAATTATATTTAAAACATTTTAGAATACCTGCATTACAAAATAAAAAAAAATCAATGATTAACGCTTCTTAGGAGAATACGGGAGTGGTCAATTTTGTGTTCAAAAACCTACCCAAATTGAATTTCCAAGGACTCGATAAGTTTTTTCATCCAAAGTGTACCGGCTTCTTTCGCTATATATGGCTGTCCCTGAATGACTGCATGGCTAAATCCTTCGAAGTCCGTCTTCTGACGCTTTTGGTGTTTGTGTGGCCCTCTTTTTTCTCCGCATTCAAATCTCCAGTTACATATATGGGCGACGTGCGAGTAATTCTCACAAGACAGGTATCCATGTTCGTTGATGTACATATCAGTTCCGTCATGAATGCATTGCCATGACATTGGTTTATCCCTGCAATACGACAATAGAAAAACTAATATGAATTGCATATGGATTTACCACATGGACTTCAATACGAACAGATATGTTGATTCATCGTATGACGTAGGCCCTCAAATGTTTTAGACGTATACGCAGCAAATATACATTTGGCGGATGCTTCAAAACAAAACATGTAAACCTATGTACAGAAAAAAACACAGTACTGTCTGTACTTACTGTTTAAGACATTCGTTAACCGGACAGCTAGCTACGAACAGATATCGAACCATCATAGACGGTTGTACGTATACCAAACCACACGACGTTTAAACTGATTCTCCCATGTTGGAAATCGGGAAACCGGCAGCCTAGACTAGCAACTACAAAATGGCGTTCTGATATATAGCCTGTATCTTATTTGAGAGAGTTTGTAATATTATACGGCCCAGTTGTTGGGTTGGTGTAGTTTTTCACTCTTCTATTGTGTTTAATGTAAACGTATACAGATTGTTAGTAACGTTGCTATGTTTCTAGCAACAAGGAACCCGTCATGTAAATTAAACCTTTATATTTGTGTTGCCGTTGGCGTGCCACGGGCCACATATATTCACTATACAACAGTACTTAAAATTGTATTCTCCCTTTTTTTGTTGCAATGTAAACCTTTAGAGTAGAAGTATCTGCAAAAACACTAAACACGTCAACATACAACGTATTTACCTTGCTGTGTATTTGTATCACATATATTTACATATATATTTATCACATATTGCCACTACGCAAACGTTAACTCAAGGCATTCCGCGGTACCCGGCTTTCGACATTTGTACACTCACATGAATTATTAATTTGCTGAAAAACACACCAAAAAGCAAGCAAGAGACTGTAAGCAAGTCTAGCTCAGATACAACAATCAGGTCAAACTGGGAACTGGCAAAAAATACACCAGAAATGTTTACGATTTTTTTATTGTTTCCGTTCCTATTGTCAACTAATGATGAAGTGAAAACTGACAATTTAAGAACAATCGGACATATGTTATTCTGGAGCTATTTTAACCTGACAACTGGTGTCTGATTTACCATAGTTACCATATACTATTTACCATAGTTACTATAAACCATTTTTAAAAGACGATGTTGTTAGTGTCTGAAACGTTGCGTTACTTTCAAGAAAACGCTACTGTCAGAAAACGTTACTGTCAAGAAATTTTACTGTCAGTAATGATCACCGTACTGAAACTTTATTGTCAAGAAAACGTTACTTTCATGAAACGTTAATTAAGTAAACAACTACTACTAATACTAAATATAAATTCAGACATGAAAGCGACATTAAAACTAT